TGAGCCTGCGCGTCCGGAGCCTGTGCTCTGCAACGGGAGAGGCCACAACGGTGAGAGGCCCGCGGACAAAAAAAAAAAAAAAAAAAAATCTGTCCTCATCCCAGTGCCAAAAAGATGTTCCTTCTGTATTTTGTACAGAAAGATTAACAGTTTTATAAATTATATTTGTGTCCTTATTCCATTGGGAATTTATGTGTGGTGTCAGGAAGGGAGAGCTGTTTTGTCTTTATCCTCATGTGTGGCCCGTGCAGGTGCCTTGTACTCGAGTCTTTTTCTCTGCTCTTGCTCTTTACATCGATTTGAGTAGCTCTACGTAAAGACCACACTGTTTTAATTACTCAGACTTTATAGCATCCTTTGAAATCTGATAGGCCTTATTATGTTTCCCCAAAATTATCTTGACTCTTCTGGATCATTTATTCTTTATTTTTAAATCTTTTTATGGTGATACATAACACACACCAAAATGTGCATAAACTGTAAATGTCACGAAGCCAAACAAATCACTATGAAGCGGACACACCCGTAAAACCCTATGCAGGTCAGAGCACTGCCGGCCCCTGGAGCCCCGGTGCCCCTCCCTTCCGTGACTGCTCTCCTGGCGCAGATGGTCATCACCGCCATGCTTCGCTTTATGGTTTTCCCACTTGACTGATCCGTTTACAAAGTGGGGCCATAATGTATGCAATCTTTTGGGTCCAGCTTCTTTTTCCCAACATTATGTTTCTAAAAATTTAAACCTTAATATTCCATACAAATTTTAGGATTGTTATTTAAGTTCTAACCAAAAAACCCCGAGTCTCTTTTGTATTATATTGGATATATATATTAATATGGTGAAAATTGATGTCTTAACAATTTTGCATCTTCCCATTCACAGATGTGATGTTATGATATCTTTATTTATTACTGGAGTTTTTTTTTAATGTCCCTTATTATAGTTTTTTAGTTTTTTATAAAGGCCTTATATATTTTTTATTAAATTTATTCCTAAGTATCTCATTGTTTTTGTTGCTGTTGTCTGCTCACAGCTCATTGTTTTTCCTTCCTCTAGGCAGTCAGTATTTGATCTCTGGTTACTTTTGTTGACTTAAAGAAAAACGCACAACATAAGAATTGTGAGTTTAAGGTTTATTCAGGGTCTTGCTGAGGACTGTAGCCTGGGCCGTAGCTCTGAGGAACCGCTCCAAAGAAGTAGGGGAGGCACCAGTATCATAAATTATGAATTTTTTGGCTGTGAAATACATCTAGTCAAGCATACATCTCAGTCAAAGATTACCGCCAATCAGAAAGAGCAGAATCTCAAGTTAATTTTAGTGCTTTCCTTTGTATGTGAAAGTGCAAGAATCTGGGGTCATGGAAATTCTTCCTGAGATACGCATCTAGCCCTCTAGGGGCCTGTTTATCTAAAGCACAGAGTGCCTCATCCAGATTTTTCACCCTGAATTCTCCTCAGGGTGCGCTGTCAGCGGGTGACTGCTGTGGGTTGTGACTTACCCTCGTATAATGAGCTACGCTCTTTTGTTCTTTTTTGTTCACACTTTTAAGGATTTCTTTCTCTGTTTCACTATAATGGATCTAGATATAAATTTCATTATGTTATCCACCTTGGGACTATTGCATTTTCAATCTGAGTATCTGTATTCTTTATTAATTCTGGAAAACTCAGCTATTATCTCTTGAAATATAGTCCCTTTCTTCCTATATTTCTTCTGTCATCTTCTTCTGGAAGTTCTATGAGACATACACGGAAGGCCTCTCTGTCTGTATGAAGTCCACATGTGTAGAGCCCCCGGCCTCCCCTGTTGGCCTGCTCTACCCGCTCCAGAGCCTCTTTGATGCAGGCCCTGCAGAGCTTTTACCTTCTCCCTGTAGAGAAGGGAGAGGGTAGATAGGGGCTCTGCTGGGTGAGGGGAGGCATTGGGGTTGCTTCTTGCACAGAGTTCTGTGACCCTCCACTTCACTCACACCTTCACAGTACCTGGTGCCTCTAATCCCTGAGTCCGTCGGGGGGACCCTCTCCCTCATTTGGATTTACCCTTCTCATATGCTAAGTATTTCTAACTACTCAGTGTGTTTTCCATTTTGTCAGTGTGCTTGAGGATTACAGATGCTTTCTAGTTTCAGTGAATGTAAAGTTTGTTTCTGTTTCTGTTTTCTTGGTTGTTTTGTACCATTTTTGAGAGAAGTAGCATAGAAATTATTTGAAACCAAAAGTCCTTTTCCACTCACTCTTCAGCCTCCTCCAGTGTGCCTTTTGCTCCTAACAGTGCACCAAAACTGTTCTTAATTTTGCCAAATCCAACAGTCATCTTCCTCTCTCTGTCTTACTTGAACTCTGGGCTACATTAGACATAGCTGACTATTCCCATCTTAAAACACTGTTCTCTTAGCTTCAGTGGTACTAAACTCTCCTAGTTTTCCATCTTCTCACTGGCAGCCCCTTCTCAGATTTCTTTACTGGCTTCTCCTACTCTGTCCATCCACAAAATGCTGGTGTACCCTGGGTTCAGTCCTAAGTCCTCTTCTTTCCTCTGTAATAACGTCCCCCGCCCTCATTATCTCCTGTAGTCCTGTTGCTTTAAACACAGTCTTATACCACTGACTCCCAAATCTTTATCTCTGCAAACTTTTCTCTTGAGTTCCAGATTTTTATATCCAACAACCCTCTTGATAGCTCCACTAAGATTTCTAATGGATACTCCCAAGCTCATTCCTGCATTGCACTTGGCTGTTTTCTCTGCCTGAAACGTTCTTCCTCCAGTTCATCAAATCACTGGCACCTCACTATCCTTAAGAACTCTGCTCAAGTGTCACTTCCACCCGACCTAAAGAAGGTCCTTGCTCCAAGTTACCTTATTTTATTTCCTTCACAGATCTTGTCTGGAATTGTTTTGTGTGTTTGCTTACTGTCCAATCTCCAATTTGTTTACTGTCCAATCTCCATATTGATCACGATTACCTCTGTAAGAGTAGGGCTTTATTTATCTTGTCTTCTGCTATACCTTAAGTGCCTAGAACAGCACCTGGTATATAGCAGATGCTCAATAAATTTTTGCCTAATTAGTTAATTTAACTTTTATTAGTAAAACATTAAAGTATACTTTTCTCTTATTAGACAGAAATTTGTCAAACATGTTCTAATTTGGTGTGAATAACTTATCCTAAGAATCAAGTTCACAAAATTAAAGATTTCTCTTTAACCAAGGAATAGCTATTCTCATTTTTACCTAGGAAACCATAGAGACTCCTTGGACGCCTCTTACCTTATAAATTGCCTTAAAGATGAAAAATAGCCTTATTCGGAAACAGAATTGTTAATTGCTAACTATTGGCAAGGATTTTAAAATCTAGGAAAAATACTTGCAAATTTTATTAAAACACTGTATACATTTTAGGTAGTCTTTATTTTCTGATAAATGTATTTACATAGTTGATATTGATGCTGGGTCACATCATCGAATATCAAAAGTCGTTTTCTCTCAGTATCTCTCTCTGATGGCCATCTGCCAATAAGAATAACCACAGAGTTAGTACAGTGTGAAAGTGTTTTGATAATCAAATATTTCATGGCTTTTTTTTAAAAGACAACATTGTTTTTTTAAATATTGTACCAGTACTTTGAGTGTTAAATAGTTAGGATTTTGCTATCCCTTCTAACTTAAGAAAAACACATTTGTTTACTGAGTAAATTCAATTTTTTGTTGGTTTGTGCTGCTTAGTATCCTGCAACCTGATAGGAGTTCTGGTTATCACCTAACACTACAACAGTGAAGGAAAACACCATCTGAAGTGTTTTGCGGTTATTGATTTCTATGTTAAATATGTTCTTTAACATTTTATGACATTTCAACAATCCAGTTGGGCTCTTTTTCTTTTAGATTTCCGGGCTCTGCTACAACAGCAAAATGTTACAAGTTCATGAGGTGCTCTGCGTCCCCAGCTGGATGGCAAAGTTCTGTTCTTGGACACTTGAGCCCATCTTCTCATCTTCAGAACCTACCAGCGAGGCCAGAATCGGGATGGGGGCCACGGTAGACATTCAGAGACAGCAGAGGATGGAGCTGCTGGACCGGCAGCTGATGCTGTCACAGTTTGCACAAGTGAGGCGGCAAAGACAGCAGCAGGTAAACGATAATAATCACAGTGGAAAATTCAGAAATACTCAGGGGCCTGCGTAAACTTCTCCTTTGAGACTGTGTGTGTGGTAGAGTCTACATTTCATTCCTGTGCATTGTATCATAGATACCTTGACATGTTTCCAAGTGGAATGTAGGTCTCTGATAGTGGCTATTCTTAGTGTTTTCTTTTTAAGGTAAAAAAAGTAACTTGCAGCTGAAAGACTGGTCAAACTGGACATTCTTGCTCCACTTCTATTAGATAAGCATGATTTCTTAGAGAAACACCAAGCCTAGTTAACAAGACGGGATATTTATCTGTTTTTATCATCTTGTAAAAGCCACAGTGTCTTCCTGTTAAAATGCTTATTATTGTGTGCTCTGGTCTGAAGAGCAAATGTCAAACTTCTTGATTTTCCTTGGTTGAAATGGAGAATATGAAGGTCAGAAAATTTTCAAGGGAACAACCAACAAGTAGATCAGATAAATGCCGTGTTTTCTTAGCCTTGTCATTAATTGTCAGGAAATACTGAGCATTTATCCACAAAAACTGCTCTATCCAAACAATCCGACACCACACTGGTCTTTCCAGGGTTACTCTGCGTCAGCCTGAAACCTCATACCTGGTCCTTCTTTGGCACTTCTGTGATCCAGTGCATTGGGTTCCTCGTTTCTTGTCTCCATCCCCTTTACCCGCTGGGGTATGAGAGAGTTCTGTTCTCTCCTGCCATCTCCCGATCTCCTGCCTGCATTGCGTGTGAGAAGTAGGTCTTCATCGTGTGTGGTCTGGAAAGTGAAATCAGGTGTGATGTCCCTGGACGTCAGTGGAGAGGTGGGTCCCAGAGTTTCTATCTGGGGTGGGAAGAAGGGGGCCCCTTATCAATGGGCCGAGTCTGCAGATAAAAGAGAGAAGTGAAGGCTGTTCCCTACAGGTGTATTTGAATTTGAGGTGACTCTGGAACATACAATAAAGGTGCCCCTGATGTAGCTGAACATGGAGGACAGACATCACTCTTGGAGAGGTCAGAGCTGCAGGTGCAGATCATGGATTAAGTGTGTAGGGTTGGGAGGTGAGTGCGGTAGGAGAATCACATCCAGGATGAATGTAGGCTATAGGCTAAGCCTGTACTTAGCAGGAGGAAGAGGTAGATCCTTTGAGGAAACAGAGGGAAGAATGAAAAGTATGAGAACTCAGAACAAACAGTGTCCAAAAAACTGAGTAATAACGAGTATAAATATTTTCTGATAGAATGGACAGAGCTGTGAGGGAGAGAAAGAAGTGTATGGTTCTGAGGTTTCTGGCTTAGCCAAGGAGAGAGATCAGTGACGGCACCATCCCACCAACATCAGAAGAGCAGGCGGTGGGAAATACATTGACTGAGGTACCTTCAGGCTACCTGAGGGGAGATTCCCTGGTAGATAGCTGTGGTCTTGTGCTCATGAGCAGGATAAGAGGTTGTGTTTCTGAGGTTGGTGTCCCCAGGCAGACTCTCGTGTGTGAAGTGGATCGGAGAACGCTGTCAGGATGAGCATCTTTGGCGGGGGCGGGGGGTGGTGGTGGTGAAGGGCAGAGGGAGACTTCGAGCCCCAGTCACAAAGAAGGCCCAAGCTAAGCTTACGGTGCCCAAGCCCTGGAGTTGCGAGAGACCTTCCGAGTTGTCCCAGATTCAGAAAGGTGTTGGCGCAGATTGCAGGCGCCTCTCCCCAGATGCACACCGTCCACAGAGCAGGTGTTACTTGAGAACCATCAGGTGCCCGCCCTGCCGGCAGCAGGAAGATGGATCGCTGGTCCTGAAGGAGGGGGAGGATCTGGGTCGCAGACCCGATCCAGGTCTGTCCAGAGCATCCGCCCCTCGTGCTGCTTGGATCTTCTTGTTTTGCTTAAGTTCTCGGAGCAGCACCTCCAAGACTGCAGTGGCGCTCTTTTCCCAGGAGAAACCTTCAAGAGGAAGGTCAGCAGGACAGACTGCATCCCCTTCTGCTGAAGCCGGTCTCGAGGATACACTGATGACCGTCTCCCTTGTCTGTTGTCCACTTGAGAGTCCCCACCCTTGGCTGGAAGTCTTACATGATGAAGCGACACATGCTGTCATCCCTGTGGGGTCTGGGTCCCCGGTCCCCAAGCCCTTCCCGGCTGTGGCTGCTGCACTTATCTGTTTACTGTAGAAACTGGGTGAGGAAGTACAAGAAGATGCCCTCGCAGATCACCCGAGTGCCGCCCATGATCTTCCCTCCCCTTTTTGTGCCCGTGGCTGTAGCTTTCCCTGGTGGTCAGGATTAATTACTCCTGCCGGGATAACGACTCCTTTCCTTGCCTGCCGGTCTTTCGGCACGAGAGCCTAAACTGACTGGGCAACAGCTGTAACTTAAGATGTAACGGTGTTCTTGCTTCGTCCCCGATGGAAGCGTTCCCTTTCTGTGAGCCGAGCTCTGTAAACCACGGAATCCAGAGTTGTGGGACGGGAAGCCCAGATTCCCCAAGTGGGTCACCTTGAGGGAGGCTAGTCAGGGCCACTTCTCCTTGCATCCCTTGTTTCCAAGAGCCGTGTGTTCTGCCTACTGGGGACACAGCACCCGTGTGAAGGTTGTTGATTTAGGGTCTGTACTGCACACTAGAGCCCCAAGCGCTGTCCTTGGCGGGTACCATCTCCAGGTTGGCATCTCACTCCCACCTTCACCTGGCTACCCATTGGTCTGGCGAGCTGGTAGCGCCTGGGTCATGCTGTGTGAGGGTCAGTGTATCCCGTGGTCTTGGCACTGCTGCGCCCTCTTTGCTAGAAGCAGGCCTTGTGGTCTGATGTGATGTCATCTGGAACCCTGGTCGGTACCTCATGCCCTCTGTCAACCCACAGAGGTGGTGCTTAGCGACAGAAAAGGCAGGCAGCCCCATAACCAGAAAATGTGTCAGTTCCAGGTAAAATAAATTGCTGCCTGTAATAGTCAACTCAGGTTGCCCTAACAGAATACCGCAGACTGGGCAGCTTAAATAACAAATTTTTCCTTATTGTTCTAGAGGCTAGAAGTCCAAGATCAGGATACCGTCAAGGGTTGGTTTCTAGTGAGGACTGTCCTTGGCTCGCAGGCAACCACCTTCTTGCTGTGTCCTCACATGGCCTCTTCTTGATGCCTGCATGTTCCTGGTGTCCCTTCTTATAAGGACACCAGTCCCATTGGATTAGGGAGGGCCCCATTTTTATGACCTCATCTAACCTTAATTACCTCTTTAAAGTCCCTGTCTCCAAATACGGTCACATTGGGGGTTAGGGACTTCAGCCTATGAGTTTTTTCGGGGGGCATGTCTCAGTCCATAACGGTGCCCCTCCCAGACTGAAAAGGGCCCAGTATAGTCTACCTGGCTCTATGACTGTTGGTTCTCCTTGATGGGTGGTGGCGTACATATCAGGGCTCAGCACTGCTCTCTGTTACTCTGGAAGCTAAGTCCACGTTAGTGAGTGGGGCCCATGCACAGTGGGGCTCCTTCCCGGCCATCTTGGCTGCTCTGTTCACCTGCCAGCCCTGGGATGGCCGGTGACAGAGGCTGGCTGACGTCAGTCTGCCGACTCATTCTGTCTCTCTCTTCTGTGCTGGATGTTCACGCTAAACACTGGAACCTAGATGTCACGCTTCATGCCTGTTCCTTGGCTGGACCCACATGACCCTTCCCAAGCTTCCTTGTTCCCTACCTTCCCATCCCCTGACCACCTAACCAAGTCATTCACCACGTCCAGTGAGTCCCTAGGTGTTATTTACCTCAGGCCACCTCTCTTTCCATGCAAAGCGACGATCAAATGCACTGCCCAAGCTCTACCCATTGGGAGCATTTGTCCCCGTCACTGTCCTTCAAGGTGACCGCTGAGTGGAGCTGTAGTGCAGCCACGGTCTCTTTTCAGCTTTCAGTTGTGTACCAAGCCAACCCATCTATGAACCGAATTTGGCCATTTTCCTCCTTGTCACTTGGTGGTTAGGGACCCACCCCCATGTAGCAGGAGGTATGAACTGGAGAAGAGGTTTTTATGCAACAGAGGTTATCGACATGGTGGTCTTGGCGGACCTGCTTGTGCAGCTCGCCTGCACCCCCTGCCCTGCTCGTGCTGACCCTGGATACACCACTTACGTCGGACGATGCCTTTCTTTGGTCGCACCTGACCACAGAACTTGGTAGGTCTCATACTTCTGACGACACACTCACTCTGTACCCGTGATCAGGCACTTCTTGTCCCCCAGGGTCCAGCAGCAGTGTTTCGAAAGTGTGTAATTCTCTGCTGTGTATGCGTGCCCTTGCTCCAGTGCCCTGGGCGTCCGCATCATGGTGGTCCTCTGTGGCTCGTTGCAGACTCCACCCAGTGTCTTCCCCACCACAGATACTTTGAATATCATAGTATCTGCCGGGTTGCACAGCCCAAGCATCCATGACCGAACCAGACCAAAATCCCTGCCCTCTTGGAGAGGGCCTTCCAGCCGGGCGGCTGTGAAGTGACGTCCTTTGGTCTGTGACTCTCCCCGCTGCATGGCAGGCTCTCCCACTTTCCAAGGTCAGTCTTGCCCACAGTTCAGATTCCCAGCCCCTGGGCTCTTGCTGCAGACTTCTCATTGTGCTGGAGAGAAGAGCGTGTGGTTCTTTAGTCCGGGGCTTACTCAGCGCCCTCCTCATTTCTTCCCAGCGTCGGCCTCGAGAAACACAGCTGTCTCCTCCGTGTCCCCTGAGGCTCGGGGATGCCGGTCTGCCCAGAGACACACAGCTGTCGGCAGGGCTGCAGACTAGGGGCCCAGATGTGTCCGATTCCAGGGCCTCTGTGTGTGTGTGTTGTTGGTTTTTTTTCCTTTCCTTTTTTGCTTCGGCTGTCAGGAAACTCAATGCCAAGTTTAGTGTTCAATCAAAGTTAGAACTTGTGCTTCCATCTTCTATGTTTTTAAAATACCTTTTTTGATTGTTTTAGTGTCCTTGTATCTTACTGTAGGCCTTCTCAAATTCTGTTATTGCATTTAAGATAAGCTTCTCACTTGTTTAC